CTTTTATATTCCTCAGGATTGCTGTACTTTTCTGAGGATAACAACTCACACCGCAACCTTCCATCTGCTCCTTTGTAAGCTGCCAGGTTGAAGGACAAACAGGAAGGATTGCCGAGGCATTCAAAGGTGCAGTCAAGGCTGTCATACACTGTGAATGTTCCAACTTGAGGAACGTTTAAATAATGGTACTCTTCCTTTATAAAGACATCTTGACGAAGGCTGTGATGATACATGGTGGTGAATTCTGAAGAATCATTAATCAAAGAAAGAATGGTTTTGAAATTTACCTTTTTAGAATGTCGTACATATAAGATATCTCTTAATTTAAGGAGTTTCTGACTTTAAGAATGGCTTTAAAAATTGAACGCGTTATTTGAACTGAAATTCAAAAACCTTAGCTGAAAGTAAAGCCTAGAAGTCAGGAGAAGAAAAATGGGAATTATCATCTTCATGAAATTAGAGATTTTCTGGCAGTCCACTACTGTTATTTATTTGACTTTTAATGTCATGCCATAAAACTGGGACCATTATGGCTCTTGCTCCTTAAGAATTAAACTCCAGGAAATTTACAGGGTACATCAGCGTTTAACAAATTGACCGAAACTAAAATAAAGTATCGCGATAAAAACTCAACTTTAATTAAACGTGGTAGAGTTTAAAAGAACGCAAAACTAATATTCGTTTTTGTCCTAGTTGTTTAAGCTCCCTCCCCAGCAAAATTTTAGGAACTGTCATACATTTCTCTAACATGCCGTCGCAATTTTCAGCGATTTTTAAAGTAATTAACCAAGCGAAACAGAAAAAAAGCCATGTTAGTTAGTGACAGAATACTATCCGCGGGCGTTGTTTTACATGCATATTGTTATAATGAGGAAAACTTGTTTGCCTCCATCTTCCCTGAACTGTCCTCTTCATAGATTTCCCTCTAACTTATACAAAGTAAAAAGGTTATTTCCATGAAATTTCACTCGACTATCAATAAAGCGAAAAAAAACCAACCTTCCAGTTGAGCAAAGACTGCATTGGGTATCGCAGAAAACAACGGAAGGAGCTGGAAGAAGGATAAAGAGAACATCTCAGATTGGCGAAACTGTTCACGGTTGGCAAACTTCGTAAAATCAGTGGATGAACTTGACAAACACTCCCAAAAACAGTGTTTTGTAAAGTGATAGCCATCCTAGAAACCATCAGTTTTTTTATGAAATATTAAATGTTTGTTATTCATGACTTTCTTTGTCTCATACGTTGCTTCAATGCGGCAGGGCCAATTAATGACAAGTCTTGAAACCTCAACCAATGCACTTCATTCGCCAACGTATTGGCTGCTACGATTAAGGCTCTGGAAAAAAATAACACATTCTTATAAAAACAAGACATTAAAAACGTCGCCTGGGTATTGCCCCCTTAAAGGAGACGTTACCAAAATTGATGATTTTTTTTAGCTCCAAGCCTCTTTGGCGTTAGAAAATATCTTTACGGTTTTCTGCACTGCAATTTAATATGGCTTTATATCAAACTACTTCTTCTTTAATAAGTTTTTATTAATTAACATGTCTCGAGCATCAAGATACAAGTTTATTTTCCTTTAGTTAACTGTTGACATACAACATAAAAAGCATAAAACTGAGACGGGCTCAACAAATTATTTTTAGTGTGATTTGAGGTGGAGGGAAAGTTATATTTTCAGAAAAGAAAATGTTTAGTCTTTTCATAAATGCCTTATTCTACCACCAATGACGTCACCGGTCTGAATAAAAGCGCCAATCCGCAGCCATTGCAAAATCGTTTTCTCACTTGTGCGTCCAAAAATCTAGTTACAACTTACTATTACTTTTCTTTCAAACAGAATTTACATCGAATCTTCTAATTATTCCTTTTGAAAAGCGAAAAAATGATAAGTTCCCTTTAGCTTTAAAAAAAGTTCTTGAAAATGTTATTTCAACGCTAGGGAGTGCTTAATGGATTTTTCGACCAATTTGGTTAAAATTTAATTATGCTTTATTACTCTTTATAAACAGTATCTTTTTGACGACTTGCCAAGTAAGAAGAATATACTGTTCTCTGTATAAGTCTTCAGAGACTGCGTGGGTTTTTCGATCATTAGCACTGTTATCGGTTTAGTTTAAAGTCTTAAATTAATTCAAGTATGTTGCATCAATAGAAAGGGAACCTTTCTATGACAACTTGCCAAATAAAGAAAATCAACAGTCCTAAAAACAGTGCCAAAAACAGCGTTTTGTAAAATGATAGCCGTTCTAAAAACCACCAGTTTTTTTTTATACAATATGAAATGTTTGTTATTCATGACTTTCTTTGTCTGTTATGTCGCTTTAGTATTCTGGCAGGACCAATTAATGACAAGTCTTGAAACCTCACGCACTGCACTGTATACGCCAACGTATTGGTTAGTGGATGAACTTGACAAACACCGCCAAAAGCAGTGTCCTGTGAAGTGATAGCCGTCCTAAAAACCTTCAGTTTTTTAAGCAATATTGAATGTTTATTATCTATGACCTTCTTTGTCTGGTACCTCGCTGCAGTCTGGGAGGGCCAATTGATGACAAGTCTTGAAACCTCAACCAATGCAATTTATACGGCCAACTTATTGGTTAATACGATAAAGGCTCTGGAAAAAAATAACACATTCTTAATATATAGATTTAGCCAGGGCTAAAAGCGAAGCTCCCATTAATAAATTTATATTTTAAATCAAACAATAAACTTGTAATCCACAAATCAGTTAACTTAAGGGCACATTCATGTGACTTTTGAGGGAA